CACAGTGGCTCATGCCTGTAATCCCAGCACTTTGGGAGGCCGAGGCAGGTGGATCATGAAGTCAGGAGATAGAGACTATCCTGGCTAACATGGTAAAACCCTGTCTCTACAAAAGTGAGTAGCATTGTGAGTAAATAGCACTGTGAGTTTTGACTATAGTCATCTACCACAGTCAAGATATAAAAAATTCCCTCAGCCACAGTTCCCTGTGCCCAGTTATAGCCAAACTTTTCCCAAGCCCTATCCCTGGCAACTACTGATCTGTTTTCTGTACCTATAGTTTTTATGTTTTATTATTAATTTTTTTATTTTAGAGATGGGGCCTTACTATCTTGTCAAGCCTGGAGTTCAGTTGTATGATCACAGCTCACCCCAACCTCAAACTCCTGGGCCCAAGCAATTCTCCTGCCTTGGTCTACTGTGTAGCTAGGACTACAAGCCTGTGCCACCATGCCCAGATAATTAAAAATAAAAAAATAAAAAATAAATTTTTTCATAGATTTGGGGTCTCACCCTTACCATCTTGCCCAGGATGATCTCCACTCCTGGCCTCAAGCAAGCTTCTCACCTGGGCCTCCCAAAGTGAAGGGATTATAGGCATGAGCCACCTCCTCTGTCCCTGTCCATATAGTTTTACCTTTCCCCAATACATAAATGGAAGCATAAGGTATGTAAGTTTGTTTAGCTTCTTTTACTTAGCATAAGACAACTGATATACATCCACGATGTTCTATACATCAATAGTCATTCCTTTTTATTGCATTTATAAATAACACTTCACTGATGAATGTACCACATATTATTTATGTTCTAATTGAGAGACATCTGGGTTTTTTCCAGTTTTTCTCATTTATGAAAAAAGCTGCTGTAAACATAGGTTTTCTTGTTTTAAAATTGTTTTGAGGGCCAGGCATGGTGGCTCGTGCTTGTAATCTCAGCACTTTGTCAGGCCGAGGCAGGTGGATCACCTGAGGTCAGGAGTTTAAGACCAGCTTGGCCAACATGGTGAAACCCCGTCTCTACTAAAAATACAAAAAAAAAAAAAAAGAAAAAACGAAAAGAAAATTAGCCAGACATGGTGGCTGACGCCTGTAATCCCAGCTACTTCAGAGGCTGAGTCAGGAGAATCACTTGAATCTGGGAGGTGGAGGTTGCAGTGAGCCAAGATTGCACCCTTGCACTCCATCCTGGGCAACAAGAGTAAAACTCTGTCTCAAAAAAAAAAATTGTTTTTGGGACAGGGACTGGTCTCACTATGCTGCTCAGGCTGATCTGGAACTCCTGGACTTGAGAAATCCTCCCACTTCAGCCTCCTGAGTAGTTGGGACTACAGGTACACATCAGCATCCCCAGCTATAAATTTTCATTTCTCTTGGGTAAATACCTAGGAGTGGGATTTCTGGGTTTTGTGATAAATGTTTAATTTTATATGATACTGCCAAATTATTTCCCTAAGAGGCTATATTATTCACTTGCTACTACATGATATGAACATTCCAGTCACTTTGCATTCTTGCCGGAACTTGGGTTTGTTGGTGTTTTTTTTTTTTTTCAAGCTACTCTAATAGACATGCAGTGGTATTACATTGTGGTTTTAATTCGCATTTCCCTAATGACTAATTATGGCCCAGCCATTTCTTTTTCCTTTTTCAAAACAAGCACCAAGGCATTTTTTTTTTTTTTTTGAGACAGTCTCTGTCACCCAAGCAGGAGTGCCATGGTGCATTCTCGGCTCACTGCAGCCTCTGTCCTCCCAGGTTCAAGTGAGTCTCATGTTTCAGCCTCAGAAGTAGCTGGGATTACAGGTTGCACCACCACTCTCGGCTAATTTTTGTATTTTTAGTAGAGACAGGGTTTCACCATGTTGGCCAGGCTTGTCTTAAACTCGTGAGCTCCAGAGGTCCATCCATCTTGGCTTCCCAAAATGCTGAGATTACAGGTGTGAGCCACCTAACCCAATATGTATTTTATTTTATTTATTTATATGTTTTCTTTTTTTGTATAAAACATATAATTTATTGGTCTTTGTGGGGAATTAGATGCATCACCACTGTATTACAACTGAACCTTTAATTTTATAGCTTCAGCAACATTAGCTGGTTTGCTTTTATGACTCTGCTGAGGAATCAATTCTTTCTGTAGAAGGTCAAGGGAAAGGTCTTTTGAGAAATGTGAAAGTTCCTTTTGTACATTTACAAAAGCTTTATTTACTCTGTTAGCTTTTTCATTATTCATAACATTTATCTTCTTAAGATCAGTGGTAACTGGTTTTGCTTTGTTTTTTGCCTTAAAATTTTTTGGCTGGCTATACATTCCTGGATTCCTGCCCTCTTAATTTGTTCTCGGCCATTGTCAGAAATTCAATACTTGCATGCAGCTTCTTAAGCTCCAGGTGACACCACCTGTTTTTCTGGATTTTGGTATTTTTTTATTTTTTTGAGACAGAGTCTCGCTCTGCTACCCAGGCTGGAGTGCAATGACACTATCTTAGCTCATTGCAACCTCTGCCTCCCAGGTTCAAGCGATTCTCCTGCCTCAGCCTACCCAGTAGTTGGGATTGCAGGCACGTGCCATCACACCCTACTATATTTTGTACTTTTAGTAGAAATTAGGTTTCACCATGTTGGCCAGGCTGGTCTCAAAATCCTGACTTCAAGTGATCTGCCCACCTTGGCCTCCCAAAGTGCTGGGATTAAAGGCATGAGCCACCATGCCTGCCCCAGTATATATTTTACAATCAGCATGCAGACTCCATTTTTCTCTGAGGGACCACAGGCTTACAGGGGCTCCCTGATCAGAATCCACACCAGCATTCGTGATTTATCCAGAGGGGGTTCTAGCATAGGCTGAAGAAAATCAAAATATTACCTCAAAATTTATTTCTTTGACAGATTTTGAGGCTGCTGCAGGGCCAGCAGACAGATGGGTCCTTGCAAAGCTATCTTTTCTGGGGGAAATTTGCATCTGTAGAGAATCTCTATTAATGCATCCAGGCCTTCCCTTTCTAGAAATTTCCCCTATCTAAGAGAGATAAACTGAGTCTGACACCTTGAAAGGTCTGAAAAAAGACTTTTGCCATATGTTCATTCAGCACTATTCACAATAGCAAAGACATTAAATCAACACAAATCCTCATCAATGATAAACTGGATAAAGAAAATGTGGTACATATACACCATGGAGTACTATGCAGCCATAAAAAGAACAATATCATGTCCTTTGCCGGGGACATTGATGGAGCTGGAAGCCATTATCCTCAGCAAACTAACACAGGAACAGAAAACCAAACACCACATGTTCTTGTTCTCACTTATAAGTGGGAGCTGAACAATGAGAACACATGAACACAGGGAGGGGAACAGCACACACTAGGGCCTGTCAAGAGGTGGGTTTGAGGGAGGGAGAACGTTAGGAAAAATAGCGAATGCATGCTGGGCTTAGTAGCCACGTGATGGGTTGATAGGTGCAGCAAACCACCATGGCACACGTTTACCTATGCAACAAACCTGCATATCCTGCACATGTACCCTGGAACTTAAAATAAAATTTTAAATTAAAAGAAAAAGGTTGGGTATGGCAGCTCACACCTGTAATTGCAGCACTTTGAGAGGCCAAGGTGGGTGGATCATGAGGTCAGGAGTTCAAAACCAGCCTGCCCAAGATGGTGAAAGCCTGTCTCTACTAAAAATACAAAAAAATACAGGCGTGGTGGCACATGCCTGTAATCCCAGCTACTCAGGAGGCTGAGGCAGGAGAATCACTTGAACCTCGGAGGCGGAGGTTGCAGTGAGCTGAGATTGTGCCACTATGTTCCAGCCTAAGTGACAGAGCAAGACTCTGTGTCAAAAAAAAAAAGACTTTTGGCTTGGTGCGGTGGCTCAAGCCTGTAATCCCAGCACTTTGGGAGGCTGAGACGGGTGGATCACCAGGTCAAGAGATCGAGACCATCCTGGTCAACATGGTGAAATCCCGTCTCCACTAAAAATACAAAAAATTAGCTGGGCATGGCAGCGCGTGCCTGTAATCCCAGCTACTTGGGAAGCTGAGACAGGAGAATTGCTTGAACCCAGGAGGCAGAGGTTGCGGTGAGCCGAGATCACGCCATTGCACTCCAGCCTGGGTAACAAGAGCGAAACTCTGTCTCAAAAAAAAAAAAAGACTTTTATCATCTACAAGCTTACTCTGGAAGCATATCCTGGAGCATCCATACATTCATCAAGAGTACAGGAAGTATATGCTTATTCACATTCTTGAATGCTCTAGGGTTCTCCAAGTGGAGAATTTGAGCCATGCAACATTTCTACCCAAAAAGAGCATTATAAGGTCTTCGAATGCCTTGAATCCTGGCATCTTCCTGTACTCTTGATGAATGTATAGATGCTCCAGGATATGCTTCCAGAGTAAGCTTGTTTCATTGACATTAAATATTTCCTCTCAAAAACATTTCTTATTCACAATTATCTTACGCAGCTCTTCTTTAAAAGCTTTGGCACATTTAGTATCTGCACTTGTGGCCTCACTGCTGACCTCCACATTATGAAAAATGATGACAACTTTTGAAGTGTTGGAACTACCCATGACTTGCTATAAACATTTACATATTCAAAGGCTCATCAGCACGCTCTTTTAATGTACTGAAAAGTCTTCTTGCCTTAGCCTAGATCATCAGAAGGCTAAGTCACATGTACTTCTGTATCTGGTCTTCCATCCACATGACAAGTAATTTTTCCATATCATCAGTCAGTTCACCTCTTTTCTTTGTCATAACAGTGGGTTTAACCAATGCTGATGATTTTGCTACATCACTGGCCTCAGTCTTTCTTGTTATGGGTGTAATAAAGAGGAAGTATATGCTTATCCACATAAGCATAATTAAAACAACATCGTAGAGATAAATAACATAAATAGATAAATAACATAAAATAGATAAATAGATAAATCACATAAAATAACATTGTAGAGAAAACTCTACAATGTACATTTCACCCCATTCAGTGGCAAGTTCTTTATTTAGTCTTTGCTTTTTCAAGGCTTGGCGATGCGAGCCACAGACTTGGGACCCAGGACATTGCCTCCCCAGTGACAGCGGATCTCATCATATCTGTCATTGTAATTGGTCCCAGTAGCTGCCACCAGCTTAGCCAAAGCGCCTTTGTCTTCCAAATTTACCTGGGTGAAGGCGACAGTGGTGCAGGTCTTCCTGTGGACTAGATGTCCCAGTCTTCCCTTCCCCTTGTTAATGCAGTAAGGGACTCCCATTTTACGACAAAGGGCAGGCAAGAAGACAACCAGATCTATGGGATCCACATCGTGTGCAATCACCACCAGCTGAGCTTTCCTGTTCTCCCCCAAGGTAGTGACGGTGTTAACTCCTGCTCGAAGGACAGGTGGTCTCTTAGTGGGGACATTCCCTTTGCCAGCAGCTTTCTTCTCAGCTCAGGCCAATAGCTTCTGCTTCTGTCTCTGGCCTATACTTCTGGGCCAGCTTAAGCAGCTTAGTAGCTGTTTGGTGGTCCAGGGCCTGGGTGAACTGGCAGGAGGCACTTTCAGCTGCTTATACAGGATGTCTCTCTGCCACTGTAACCTGGTATAGCGGGGCCGTTTCACAAAGCAGGTGAGGTCTCTTTGGCTGGATGTCCTGTCCAATGCCAAAATTCTTCAACCTTTTCTCAAACACGGGATTTACCACTTTCTTGGCCTCCTGCTTCTTCACAACAGCAGGGGCCACCTTGGCCTTTAGTGTGGTGTGGTAGTGTGGGACACAGTAACAGAACTCAGCCTGGTCACTTTTCACTACTGGCCAAATTGTATAACTCACATAATATGTAATTACAGAAAATCTGCTCTAGGGTTCTCCAAGTGGAGAATTTGAGCCAAGGGCCAGAGACACCTTCTTCCTCTTGGCCTTCTTTCCTTTCGGCATCTTGGGCGGCGGGAAGAGAGCCATCCACAGCATATTAGACACGCATCCCAATGGAAAGGTTGTGTATTGTCATGGAACACATTCACACTCATTCAGCTAAAGAACCAAGGTGCAATAGCTGCATTCAAAGCTTACTATTTATGCCAAACGTTCCCATAGTCTGTTGAAGCAACGGAATCTGGCCAGACTCTCCAAGAGTTTTGGAAAGTTTTTAACATTCTAAATACTATCTGGAACATTGCTCCAGCTTGGGAAGAAGTCACACAGCAATGCAGGGACGGCATTTGGAAGAAAGTTTAAAAGACATATGTTGAACAGATTCAAAGGCTTTAACAAAAATTCTGCTGTTGATGAAATAGTAAGTAACAAGATATTAGTGCTTGGGAAACAGCTAGAATTAGACATCAATAACGAGGATATTCATAAGCTTGTTGGCATTGAAGCTGAAGAGCTTTCAAATGAGGAACTGATCAAACTGGAGGAAGAAAGAAGTGAAGAGCCTGAGGCAGAAGAAGAAGTTATACCTAAGGCATCAAGAACACTCACAGCAAAGAAACTGGCAGAGGTGTTTGCTACTATCAGTAGTGGGGTATAAACCTTAGAAGAAATGGACATCAGTTACTGAAGATTTGTAAGAACTGACAGGCAGTTACAGTAGGCTCTAGCCTGCTATAAAGAAATACATATTGGGCTGGGCGCAGTGGCTCACACCTGTAATCCCAGTACTGTGGGAGGCCGAGGCGGGTGGATCACGAGGTCAGGACTTTGAGACTACCCTGACCAACATGGCGAAACCCGGTCTCTACTAAAAACACAAAACGTAGGCAGGTGTGGTAGCACGCTTCTGTAATCCCAGCTACTCAGGAGGCCGAGGCAGGAAAATCACTTGAACTCCGGAGGCGGAGGTTGCAGCGAGCTGAGATTGTGCCACTGCACTCCAGCCTGGGCAACAGAGTGAGACTCCATCTAAAAAAAAGAGAGAGCGATACATAATGAAGAAACAAACTTTACAGTCAAAACTTAGTATCTTCCTGAAGAATAGGATGTCTGCTAAACCTAGTAAGTGCCCATGCCTCACTGCCTTCTGCCAGCTATTCTCAGCCCTCATCAGAAGAGAAATTGATCACCTTGTCACTGTAGCATCCCCATCATCCAGCAATTAATTTTAGTTTAATGCTTCAAACATTCTCCACGCCCAATGTGCTTTTAGCTATGCACATTAATGGTGAGGACCCATACAAGCATTCCATCTTTCACTTTCAGTACAGCATGCATAAATCACATCAGATAGTCCAGGCACGGACTCACACCTATAATCTCAGTACTTTGGGAGGCTATGGCAGGTGGATCACTCGAGGCCAGGAATTCGAGACCAGCTTAGCCAACATGGTGAAACCCCATTGCTACTAAAAATACAAAAATAAACTGGGCATGGTGGTGTGTTCCTGTAGTCCCAGCTACTTGGGAGGCTGAGGCAGGAGAATTGCTTGAACCCAGGAGGGAGAGGTTGCAGTGAGCCAAGATGATGCCATGACACTCCAGCCTGGGTGACAGAGTGAGACTCCATCTCAACAAAAAAATAAAAAGTTACAGGATATATTCAATACTTTATTATAAAATAGGTTTTTCGTTACACGATATAGCCCAAGTATAGGCTAATATCTGAGCACATTTAAGGTAAGCGGGCTAAGTAAGCTATGATGTTTGGTAGTTTAGGTGAATTAACTGCAGTTTTTACTTATGATGAGTTTATCAGAACATAACTTCATTGTAAGTCAAGGAGCATCTGTATAGATTTTTTTCCTGTTTCACCTTACTCATTTTCAGTAATTACATATTACAGGAAATCTGCTTTGTGAGTTATACAATTTGGCCGGTAGTGAAAAGTGACCAGGCTGAGTTCTGATTACTGTGTCCCACAGCACCACACTAAACGCCAAGGTACATGTATGATCCCCAGAATTGTCTGACAAGTAAGGCCCGTGCTTCTCCTATTGGACTCATTCCATTCTTCCTCCAGTAGCTTGGGATATCCCCAGTGAAGGGGGCTTGATCTGTCTAGTTCCATCAGGGAATCCTCAATATTGGGAACTGCTTCTCCCATAGGACCAGGAGTTGTACAAGAGCAAGTTCTCAGTGTTTCAAATCCACCAGAGATTCCCTAGAGGGGTGTTTCTACCTGTCCCACCGGCATGGAATTGTTGGTGTATGGGGGCTATGTCTACACCAAGGCTGAATACTTTTTTCCTAAATACTCAAATGATTTTTACCACTGTCAACATAAAGCAATCAAAAGGCTCAGAATCTAATCTAAAGATTATTTAAGCACAGAGTATAAGGACTGCTGCCTGGGAAGCACAGATTCCAAAGAATGAAAGAAAGTCAGTGTTCTGAAGTGTAGAAATTTGGAATTGTTTACATAAAGTTTAGGGAAACTTAACAGAATTTCAACATTTTTCTGTTTTCTTTTGTTTAGAAACACCCTGTTGTGCCGGGCGCGGTGGCGTGTGCCTGTAGTCCCAGCTAATCGGGAGGCTGAGGCTGGAGGATCTCTTGAGCCCAGGAGTTCTGGGCTGTAGTGCGCTATGCCAATCAGGTGTCCACACTAAGTTCGGCATCAATATGGTGACTTCCTGGGAGCGGAGGACCACCAGGTTGCCTAAGGAGGTGTGAACCCGCCCAGGTTGGAAACAGCAGGTCAAAACTCCCGTGCTGATCAGTAGTGGGATCACGGCTGTGAATAGCCACTGCACTCCAGCCTGGGCAACATAGCAAGACACTGTTTCTTAAAAAACAATAATAATAATAATTAAAAAAAAAAAAAGAAACACCCTGTTACCCAGGCTGGAGGGTAGTGGTGCAATCATAGCTCACAAGCGCCTTGAACTCCTGGGCTCAAGCCATCCTCCCTCATCAAACTCCCAAGTAGCTGGGATTACAGGTATGCACCACCATGCTTGGCTTCAACATCTTTCTACATAGGGCTTAATGCATAGCTACAATGATTCTATTAGCAGAGGGGGACTTTTTCTTTTGGGAAAGGTATAGTTAACATCCCACAATGAAGATGTAAATCATGGGGTATTTTGTACCATCTGGTCTCAGTTATGTTCAGAACAACGAAAGAGGCAATTATTCTACAACAAAAATTTGTGATTGGAAGTGGGGAGGTCTGGTGTCTGATCTCTCCTAGTCATTTACAGAATAAGAACACTGAGGAAGAGAGTCAATCTATAATCTAAGTAATAGAATGGCAGTCATGATACGTGACTTGCTCTCCAGAGCTTAACTTCTCCCCTGGCATAATAAATGTAGATAGTCCTGAAATTTTATTTTCTTTTGTACCATCATAGTTCTAAAATGGATTGCTTTTCCCTGCCTTCTTTTTTTGTTTTTTTTTTTTTTGAGACGGAGTTTCACTCTTTCACCCCAGGCTGGAGTGCAGTGGCGCAATCTCGGCTCACTGCAACCAGAACCCCCTGGGTTTAAGCAATTCTCCTGCCTCAGCCTCATGAGTAGCTGGGATCACAGGCACCCACCACTATGCCTGGCTAATTTTTGTATCTTTTGTAGAGATGGGGTTTTGCCATGTTGGCCAAGGTGGTCTCAACCTCCTGATCTCAGGCGATCCATCTGCCTTGGCCTCCCTAAGTGCTGGGATTACAGGCATGAACCACCGCGCCCAGCCTTCCCTGCCTTCTTGAAAAGAATTCACTGAGTATCATTTAACCTTTCCTTGATAATTCAAAGCTATAGTCATAGACACCAATGGCTGTAGAGTGATGTCATGATTGGGGCCATTTAAGGCATGCAGGTTGTTTATGCTGAAGGAAACCAAAAATATGCCACCCCAAATATACTTCTTTGGCATATTTTGAGATGGCTATTCTGAGGGGCTGTAAACACGAGAATAGTCCTGAAAAGCTGTCTTTTGTGGGGGAGATTTGCATCTGTAGAGGAAATCAACATTAGTGGAGTGAAGTAAACAGCAGATGCACACAGGCTTTCTCTGAAGCCCCTCCTTGTCTGAATTTAGGAAAGACTAACTCACAGGAAAAGAAGACCAAAGGTCAGGCAGAGACACCTTACCCCAGGCTGCCACCTATTCTTTCTGAGAGCTGTTGCCTTTTGGGGTTATATTAGCATAAAAAGACAGCCTTTCCCTGCCTCGCTTTCCTCCCTTCACTGTTCCATAACCCGTGAGGCTACCTGCATCCCAAGAGTCCCCAAACCGCTATCATTTCTGTAATCTCTGGGTGGTATGAAAACAGCCTCCTTTGAGTCTCATACTGTGTGTATACTCCTGTGATCATATGCACATTAAGTATGTATACCTTTTTCTCCTATTGGTCTATCTTTTGTATCCCAGCTAAGAAGTTATAAGGATTGAGAAAAGAAATTATATTTTTTTCTCCCTTTCAATGCCCTTCTGTAAGCTGAAAATAAAATTCTCTTTTTTTTTTTTTTTTTCTTTTTTGAGACAGAGTCTCACTCTCTCACCCAAGCTGCAGTGCAATGGTGCAATCTCAGCTCATTGCAACCTCCACCTCCCAGGTTCAAGCGATTCTCATACCTCAGCCTCCCAAGTAGCTGAGATTATAGATGTGCACCACCATGCCTGGCTAATTTTTGTAATAGAGACAGGGTTTCACCATATTGGTCAGGCTGGTCTCGAACTCCTGACCTCAGGTGATCCATCCACCTTGACCTACCAAAGTGCTGGGATTATAGGTGTGAGCCACCATGCCTGGCTGAAAATAAAGTTCTAAAGCACCCAGCTGGGTGTGGTCACTCACATCTGTAATCCCAGCACTTTGGGAGGCTGAGGTGGGTGGATCATGAGGTCAAGAGATTAAGACCATCCTGGCCAGCATGGTGAAACCCCATCTGTAAAAAATAAATAAATTAATAATAAATTTAAAAATAAAAATAAAATTCTAAAGCTCCCAACTGTCTGAATGGACCACCCTCTCAGCCAAGGGCATTACAAAGTAAACCTGAGAAAATGAGTTGAGGCCATGATGGGAAGTGGA